AGGAGCTGGAGGAGGACTGTTGACGCTGGACACCCCCGGAGCTGCAGTCGACGCCGACCCCCCCGAAGATCTCAAGGGGGCCTCGAGCGGCACCGGCGCCGTGCAAATCTCCGGGACCTCCCCGGGCGAGCCGGGGCGGGCGTTGGCGCTGGGCTGCTTCGGCTGCAGCTCCCACAAGCCCAGTGCGGTCCTCTCCGACAGGCCATTTCTCCCAGTACGCCCCCTGACCTCACTCCGCGCCACGCCTCAGCGCCCCCTGCTGGCTGACGTCTAGAGCGCAGAGGAAAGTGGAGACTCCATTCGGGAAGGAGGGCAGGGCGCGGGTCAGGAGAAGTGTAGCCAGACGCCGTCCACACTGGACACACGGGAAACCAATGGACATTTCCGGCACCGTCCTTGGATTTCACCTACCTGTTATGATTCCTCCCCTGCTTTAGCCCAAGAAATAGATGTTGAATTCTGTGTATCCGAGCAAGCAAAGAATCGACATGAGAGACATGAAACACTCAACAGGTGCTCTTAGTTTCAGCTCTGGTCTGCTGTCTTCGAGCCAGACGGGGCAGTGGTGTGGGTTGCTCTACAGTTTGTTCACACTGTAGGAGATTAAATGCATTATGTGAATCAATCAAAATCAATCAGGTAATCAATGAGGTTTTCTCGACTATGCCTTTAGCAAAATGCTGCAATGTATTGTAATTATAACCCTGATCGTCTTGTTTAAGAAATGGCCTTGCGGGTATTTTAACAGTAAAAGGCTGCTGCATCTGAAAAGTGCATTTCATTAATATTGTCATAATGTAATTCCTTTTTAATGAAACGGCTTCTCTGAACAGGGGGACAGGAGATCTGCTGAGCTACTTTGGATTGTGTTGTTCACACTGGTCAAAGACCAGTGGACACAGCGACAAAAGTTGCTGATGTGTCACAAATGAGATTTGTCAAATGTGTACAGCGCAGAAACGCAGATCCTTCCTCGGGGTGCATAGTTTTACAAAAGGACAAGAATTATTTCCTTTCTTTACTTTATATACCGCCTCGGCTATTCTCAATATCTGTTCATAAAACCTGCTTATCAAATTAAAAAAATAGGCCTCTTTATATCTAGGATTGGAGTTTATCGCTCGCGCTAAGTCAGTGACTTTTGGCACAGTAGAGCACAGTGTGGTCTGATCAGCAAACTGTAATGTTGGAAAGCAGAGGACTGGAGCTCCTGCATCTCACTGTGCTGGTGATAACCTACCACGCCCCCATTACTTCAGAAGTAAAGGATGGAAAAGATGGCACTTTAATAATGTATGTATTCCTCTTTTTTATTCACCTTTAAAAGGCGTTGTTAGAGAGCTGGCATGGACGAGTTACTCAAGTTCCTGTGCGCTGGGGAACAGGGAGGGGAGAGCCAGAGACCTGCTGGTGTTGAACTCCACTGCTGCAGTACCTGCTGCTCGTCAGCAGGTGGCACTGCTGCAGTGGGGTGGGATCCCTAAGAAATTCTGTTGGCTGGTGCTGTTTGTGCTGTGACTGTCCTGGCTGTGGCCCAGACAATCCACTTAGCTGATTTTATTTTCTGGGGGGGGCAGCGTGTCCCCGAGGCACTCCTAGAGCCCTTCCAAGTGCATCGTCCTAATTGAGATATTAAATCAGAAGATGGCTTAAGATCTGAGTACACAGTTTCTGCCAGCATCCAGCCTTAAAAACGTGTGATGATGATCTGTCGGGGGGGGAAAAAAATTAAGACTGGCTCAAACACCAACCCATCGGCGTGGGGGTGACGTCGTTGTTGGCCAATCGCTGCACAGGGCTTGTGCTTGCTGCTGGTGAGGCTGCCACTGGGGAGCTGCTTCTCCCACTGACAAGCCCAGGGTGGGGGGGGTCTCTGGAAAGCCTCGCAGAACAGCCTGAACCCTTTCTTCCCAGCAACACCCAATTTTCCTGTCCAGACCAGGAGCCATTGACAACACAGTCTCTCCAACCGGTTCAGGTCTGAAGGACGGACCGAGAGAAAGATCAGCATTGGCACTGGCTGAAGCAAACTGGAACAGGGTTCCAGTGGTGTTGGTTTGCGCAGCGAGGAGCGATATGTACAGGTCCGTACAGGCCGGCGTTCTCTGCCAACAGGATGGGTGGGGCTGCGAACTCTTTGTTCCTTCACACCACAGTGGGGAAAAATATGTAAGCAGAGAAGAAGGGGGCGGAGTTACTGTGCAAATACCTTCAGAGGCCTTTGCCAACTGCCTTCATCAGCACTATACTGGGCGCAGGCTCACAGCCAGCAGAGATCCCAGTACTGGGTACCCCAGCTTAGAACTTCCTGAACCGTGCTCCACACGTGTGCTCGCTATCCTATGATGCAAGAGTCCATCTTATTGCCGATGCGAACTTAAAGTGGGGCTTGTTTTTTATGAAGAATACTCCAGTTGAGCCGCCTGGTGGCACAGGGGTGAGCGTTGCTGCCTCGCTGGGGCCCTGGGTTCAGTGCCACAGCTGGGGTACAGGCCGTGTGGAGTTTGCATGTTCTCCCCCTCCTGTGGGTGTTCCAGTTTCCTCCCACAGAGACGTGCTGGTGGGGTAATGGGCTTCTGGGAAAGCTGACTCTAGGTGGGAGTGTGGTTGTGTCGGTGATGGACTGGCGTCCCGCCCAGAGTGGATCCTGCCTTGTGCCTGTTGCTTGCTGGGATAGACTCCAGCTCTCCTGCAACCCAGAATCGGATAGAAAACAGCGATCCTGAATTGGAAGAAAAGGGTTAGGAAATGGACAGAAGGGAATATTGCTATTTACCTGGAGTGGGGCGTTTTGCTGGGCTTCTCAGTGTGAAAGAATTAGTTTAAACGGCAATAACCCCCTTGTGGGCCAATCTTAAGAGCTGAGCAAGGATGGGTCAGGTAGGGAGATGAGACCGCTACAGGGGGAAGGGAGTTAGTCCTGCTGTACAATCTGACCTCCCTGAACTCTCTCCTCTATTCACTCCTGAAGCAATTTCTCACTCCCACGCGCCCAATCTTCTGGGCGGAGGGGCCACTGTGTGTCCCCCACGTGGGGCTGCTGGTGCAGAATGACACTGTGTCTCCCACATGGGGCTGCTGGTGCAGAATGAC